ATTGACAAGCTCGTGAAGTAATCACTCGTTTCTCACTAGTAGGTAGCTTCAAGTCTGAATAGATGCCTAGTCTGATACATAGTGTCTATGCCGAAACACTTGAACGTCATACACCACGTATTAGCGACACACAATAAGCATAAGTTGCTCTAGTGCACACTACACATAGTGTATGTTGTCCAGTGAGTGATTCGCAGCATTGAACGGAATGCTTGCTTGTTCAACGTTATCACATAGCTTGATAATACCACGGTACTAAAGTGATACATGTTGGCTGACAAAACCATTTAATAACTGTTTCGATCACAATGAAAATGACATCTTATTCTTTTTTTCGCGTTGGTCCTTAAAATATGAACAGCTGAAATATAATAATAGAGAAAGATATTAAACATGATTTGGTCACAGTTTGTGAATAAATCATTGATAAAATTGCTAAAGAATTTTGACAATCATGAGCGATGCAAGTTTCTATTTCGAAAAGATTCCCTTTTAACTTTTCTTATATTTTGTTATGAGAAATAAGACGACATCGATAGAGTTGACAAATATGTCTAACAAGTTCAGGCACATCAAGTGACGACTAAAATGTTGTTAGAGTAGGTCAATATGTAAACTTCCAAAAATGTTGAATTAATCATCAAAAAGACGTTAATCACAATTTACCACAATTTGATTTTGAACATATGTTGCACATTTACAAACTTATACTTGTTGAAAGTTTTAGTTTTGAGACATGTGTGACCCATAAGTAAAGATGTTTAACGATTTAAATAATTTTGATAAAAATGTCTGTTAATATTTATCATATATTTCGTGTAAACTATGAAGTGAAAAATGTAACTACTTAATGTCACTTGGGTAAAAATAGTAAATATGGCAAATTCTTGCCGTTTTGAAGATAAAATTGTTTTGTCTAACCAGCTAGACAGTTTTTTCTATATTTTCTCTATCGAAAAAAACACTATCTTCCTAATATCATCTGTTCTATCTGCTTTTGTTTCAGTTGAAATATGCTGTCATGTGGAAAAATGTTAAATTTAATTTCTTTCGTTGATCGGGTACTACGAATGCATGTTTCTCAAATATTGTTAGCAATGAACGAACAAATGACAGTGAAGCAATGAAGATTCACTAATTGCGAAGATTCTTTTTGTAATTGTTTTTATAATGAAGAACGCAAATTTTACATGTGAAAAAACTGATCAATTGAATTTCTGGGGTAAAGATTTTCAATATTATGATTACTCCAGAGGCTGATGTTAGAACAATTGCGGAAAACGAATTATCTATAAACCTCTTCACACATTTCTTTATCATGTTTTTCTAAAACCAGAATTTGTTCTCTCTTTTTTCGCCATCTGCTTCAATGTAACGCTAGCAAAATGTACTGATGGTCATTATATGGATACTTTATTTTTCCTTGTAATGATGGGAATAACTGCAGTTGAAAACACATCTTCACCGTCATCTTCAAGTCGTTCTTGGAAGAAAGAGTCAGGAAAAACAGCTTTTTAGAAGCTTTCAGTAAAACGTTCATCGAAAATTTGAGGATTTAATATTTTTGAAAATGACGAAGTAGGTCATATTTGTCCCTCAAAATAAGTTCTTTCTAAAAATGTCCCCATATAAATGTCACGTGTAAAATGTCCTTGGAAAAATGTCCTGAGTGGAAAATGTCTCAATGCTAAAAGGTTCTGGGGAAAATGCTATCTGTTAAAAATGTTCTTGGAAAAAAGTCGAGGAAAAAATGTCTCCTATCGAAAAAGTCCTAAAAAGAAAATAAAAAAAAATTGTCCTTCCATCTAAAATAACCTTCAACTATACCGTATATGAAGCTTGATCATATTATATATTAAGCATATTTTTTTAATTATTTGCATAGAGGAGTTTATCACTTAAATGTAGTACGGCTACGTGTGAATAATAATAAAACAGGAAAAAAACCCAGTTGAATCAGACTGTATCTCGTTTCGAACATTTCAATTTGCTTCACAAAAATTAACAATGGCGTCAGCGTCATCGTCGTCTTTACAATTCATATCACCTTCTTCATTGTTATCGATTAATTAGTTGGACTGATATATTTTGTTGCAAATACAAAATGACTGAACTAGAGAAACTAAATAAATGCATAAAAACAATATTATCGATCGTCATTTACATTTTGGTAGAAGGATGTTTTAAATAGAATCACATTTTTCTCAGAGCTCTTTCGCATAAAGGCATTCTACTCAGAGACATTCTCTCGAAGACATTTTTTTCATGGGTATATTGCCCAAGACATTCTGCCCGAGACATTTTTTTTCGGGACATTTATGCAAGGATATTTTTAAAAGGGACAGTTATGACATATACTGCCTCTTATATCACAAATGTCTAGAAACATGAAGGAAATCACATGGCAACTATAACTTGTAAGGAAGAACATTATGAATTAAATATTTGTTTATACGAATGTTTCTTTTACTAGTGACTCTATTTTAATTTGCTTACGCTTCGTTAATAACGTTGACTTCATCGTTAATTAGACTTTTTATAACATACACTTAAGATAATATAAACGCGTACATATTTAAACGCATACACGCTATTCTATTGATAGTGAAAAGAAACAAGATAGGAGATTTTGAAGAGACTTTTCTTTCTGAATTTTTCGTTCATTCGTTTCACTATCAATAGAATAGGGAATATATGTGTACATAAGTATGTACTCGTTTATATTATTTTCCGCGTTTTATATCAAGAAATAGTTAACGATGAAATCAACATTGTTAGCGAAAAGTTAACAAATTAAAATTCAATAACTAGGAAATAGAAGTTTATATAAAAAACGTGTTTCATTGAAAGAAAAGACAACATTAATTGATAATAATATCAATTATTTCAGTCAAAATCAATATAATCTGTATTAGTTTTCATAATACTTATGAATGACACGACGATTAGTTTTATATTCATTGCGCATCTACCTGAAGTATACATTGAAGAAAAAGAAAGAAGAAAATTCTTTTCTATCACAACTTCGATCATTTGATGAACAAGTTTTCTGGATCAAATTCATCATTGATATCAAAAGTGATTACAAGACTTTGATTTACAGTACGGAATATGTTCAATTCTATAGACGAAGACATCTTTTATCCAATGTTGTATATAGTATCGAATTCTGCTATGTGACGTAAGAGAAAATTAAGTTAGAAAATAATGGATCTGACATATCTTTAGATAATCGTTGTATACCAAAATCAGCATCGTGTAGAGCTAAACCAAAACATAACCTAACCATTTTATTTACTGTTCGACAGTCCGTGCTGTCTACTTTTATAACCATATTGTTCTTCTTCAAACTCAAGTTATGATGTGACTTACAATAATTTCGAAAAAAAACTTATTTTTTACAATGCTATTTGAAACAATACATAGAGATTCATGCTTGACAAACTGAAACATATTTCAAATATACAATGTTGTAGAGTTTTGTTTGCTCTACAAAAAGGGTGCCGTATTAGAATTGATATCAATATTAACTAATGCTAATGATAATACCTTTTGCACTAGTGTTATATTTAAGTCTAATGCTTTGATATTATTACCTATTTAGCATTACATAGTACTGAGGTATTAACATTAAATTATTATTATTTTTAATTCTAATACATATACTCCTTGTAACTTTTTTTGGCGCTATCTTGTGAACTGTTAGTTCGTCAGGACCATGAAAAATCTTGGCATATCTTCTAGAACATCTAATTGTTCTAATAATAAATAATAATAAATGTCATTTTTCTAGTTGCTTTAATTATTGATTATAAGAAAATAAGACAATAGTTAGCGACAATTCCAAGAGTATGGATCAAATACCTGAAACACATAAAAAGTATCGCATTAATATTTAACATATGTTTGAAATGCGTCTGCGAAATTTAGTAAAATATCTTGAAATCAAACAGTGTTATCTTATGAAAATTATCTTTGGATCACAGCTTGAAGACATGCTGACAATATTTGAGAAGGACACTAAAATTTTATTTTTCATGCTTCCTAAACTATCAAAGATGAATTGTTATATGGATAAGCACTGCTATGCAAATAGCGTTTTCACATAACGTCACTTGAACTAGATAAAGTGCATTGCTAGAAGTAAAGCTATCATTTAAGTGGTGAGTAAATTGAACGAATGATCAGTATTTTATTTAAATGGTTAGTGATTAAAATAACTAGGTTTGTTCATATATTTATAAATCAGTAAATTAATTTAAATGGTTAGCATAAAATCGAAATGTATCAGAGTATAACTCAAAGAGAAGATACATACATGGTGTTCCAGAAATAACCTACGAACAGTTTTTTCGTCTTAGTTCACTATTGACTGAACTTCATCGATTAATTGTTTCTATATAATAGATAAATACACCGAGTTTTTATTTCTGTAGAAAAACTTCAAAAGCACTGCTGATAGCTAAGAACTTTAATCGAAATACTCAAATTTAGCTTGTTTTCTGTTTCCTTAAAAATATTACGAAGCATTTCTTTTTTTAATTACTTTTAGTTACCGAGTGATTCAAATCTTTGAACTGTCCAATTCTTGAACAGTCTTTTCACAGAATTGATAGGTCTTCACAAAAACGAATTGCATGATAATCAAGTCAAAATTCAAGCAATCAAAACAGACATAATCGATGAGTTTTTTGAGAAATAGAAAACAGGCTAAATTTTGGTAGTTCGGTTAAAGATCTTAGCTTTCAACAGTGCTTTTAAAGTTTGTCTGTAGAAATAAAAACTCGGGGTATTTATCTATTATTCAAAAAAATTAATCGATGAAGTCCAGTCAAATTTCTGGAACACCCTGCATATTGCAAAAGAAATAACAGAAGATATTGAAATGCTTCAACTTTTCAATTCTAGAGCTGCATTCAAGTTAGTCTTAACATTATTAACCCAGGAGAAAATCAACAGTAAGTAAAAAAAAAATCAGTAAATACTAGATTTTATGAATTATGTTGACAACGAATGGTTCAAATCAAATGATGGTTGATATGAAGGATACAACTTATTGCACCAGATACAAACAATGCCCTAGAGAGGCAACGAATAAAACAATCATAGATGATGGAACGTTTGGAGCATGTCATGTTCGATCAAGATGTTTGACAATAGCTGTAAATATTGTTAATAATTGGTCCATTGAGCTAGATGATACCTCAGTTAATGCAAAAATATTTGCTACAGAACCAACAATATCTTTAGGATTATGGACTTTATCGTATGAATGGGCTAAATCAACAAAAGATATAATTTGTATATCCAATGATTCTTCAAAAACATATTCTATCCCAGTTTGTAATTTACAATCGATTACAAAAGCCGATTTAAATAAATATAAAAATAAAAAGTGGACAACATTTAATTAATTCAAAAAATCATTTGATATTTGGTGTATGAAATTGAAGAATAATTCAGATTGGAAAAAATCCAAATGCAACTGTCCAGCTTTGTTTAAGAATTATATATGCAAACATGTTGTTCGTATGGCTATTCGTTTGAAATATTGCAAACCACCACCAGTAGCAAAGACAGTGTCGATCGATGAGAAAAGAAACACAAGTAGGCCAGCCAAGCCTAAACCTGCTTTGCTAGTACAATAGTTGAATTTTTTTTTCATTGATTCTTTGAATTTCTATTTCTGTTTAATGTTCTTTTGAATATTCCTTTTTATTTATTCTGTGTTTTTTTTGTTTATTTTTCTTATACTAAATTAATCTTTATATAAATAAAACTTATTTCTTCAGCTGATAAGATCTGCATTTTTACTGACCAAGTTTGAGTTTTTTACCGATAAAATTTGAATTTGTTACTGACACTTATATATAAAAAACTGATCACTTTATAATTAATTACTGAAGTTTTTAGTACTGACCATTTCAATATTTCCACTAATCAATAGTATCTTTTTTACTGACTATTTCATTAATTTTACTGGCCAAAATTTATTTCTCTCTAGAAATAATTGACGATAGGGTATAGCGACGAATAAACAGAGCACAATCATATACATCTATCCATGCCCTATCTCTGTAATTTCTCCTCATAATTATTCAGTTTGAATGTTACGTAGTATAATCTGGCCATAAGTAGATAAGTTTTGAAAATGTACAAAAAAAATCACTGAAGCATCATTGACTACGACTGTGGCATTTCATTTTGGTAATTTTTGTTCATCACTAATTTGAATTATATTGGAATATTCTGTATTGTTGTTTTTCTACCATTCACTAGTTATTTTCCTTTCGTTCTTTAGTATACTCCTACATGTCACTGCGTTCATATACGTATTGTGTCATTTGCTTTGATATGTAATTGTTCATTTCTTTGTTTTCTCCAAGCAACAGATACACGCTTCCTGTTGCTTCTTCTTCCCTCACTTAGCAATACAATCGGCATTCATTTTCTCTTTTCTCTTACGCAGACTAGATTTTTGTATATGATAAAAAAAATTTACGAGTTAGAGTGAGTCATATATGCTTTCTATCATAAGGAAACAGTGTTCAGATAGAGACAAGATAATTTTGACCTGAAAGGGTTCTTCATATGATTGTGTATTGCACATCAAGTTTTATGAGAATTTTCCTTTGGCACAAAAATGGTTTGTTTTTAAATAAAAACAGTATTTACGATAATTTTGGCGTACCGAGTATAAATTATACTCATGATGGTAATGTTGAGAGACTTTAATGTTGTCATTATCGTTTTACATAAAGTAGGACGAAATATTGCTGGATAGAAAAAAAAATTGATTTATTTTTATTGATTTAATTGAGATAATAAAGCCTTCAACGAGTTAGAAGACTTTCATCCCGCCCCATAACAGAAGGTGTCCATAGGATAAACGAAGAGATGCCGATGAACAATATTCTGTTTTCATCATGTTAGCGATGTATCAAATCCGAGCTAGACAAATCATAAGAAACAGCTAATAAACTCTGAAGAAACTGTTTAAGTTTTCTACACAAAAAAAAAACATTGTACAAGATCATAGGACCTAATTAATCTAGTTCACATTCGTACGGGTCACACAAACAGAGATTTTTCTAGCGCCGATGCATATTCAGTAAGATCCCGTTATATATTAATTATAAAACATTTCTTCATCATTGCAGTTTCTCCTAAAAATTCAGAAACTTTTGTTTCACAAAAAAGCTCATTTACAATTGAGAAAAATACACCTTCGAACATACATTTCAAAATGTGTTCTATGAAGCACTTCTAAGTTTGAGAACGTATTTCTTTTCGCAAAAAGACGCAGAGATATTTTTTTCGAAACATACACAAAGAAAAAACAAAACACACTCTGAATTTATATTCAACTACTATTTTTCGATAAACGATTTCTTCGTAGCAAGATACATCCATTCAAGTTAGATTGGAGTTAATAACAATGTTAGTGGTACATTTTACTGTGAACGAATTTTGTCTATATTGGTTAAAGTTCAACACGAGTGAGTGACTTAAATAATTTTGATAACAAAAAAAAATAGTTGTCTTTCTTTCGGTTATCTAGTTATAGAAAAGGTTAAATATTACCAGTGATAGATCTTATTCTTTAGAAAAAATAGTACTATTGTAAATTTGACCAATATTTTCGTGTATATTGACTCTATTGTTCTAAGAACACTCCTCTCGCCAACGATTATTTCCTTCTTTTTTTTTCACAGTATATTATATGTTTCTTTCCCATTGTACGAATGTTGAATAAGCGAAATAAAACTCGTTTATTATTGATCCATTAGACAAAAATGAATCGAAACTAAAAATTATCAGTGATACTAATATAATGATACAAATTTTTTAGAAACATAATAGAAGACTCTGGGTCTTCTATTAAACCGACGACTTGATCGCTTTCGAAACAATCAGTCTCATTTTAGATAAGTTACTTCATTCAACCACATATTTACAATGTTTGAATAAACAGTTCTTTCATATAATTAACGTTGTTATTGAAGCAGTATTCTGATTGAATTTTTTATTAGATAGTAAAGAATAAGAAGCTTTCAGTCATTTAAAGAATATTGTAGCTTCAATTAAACTGCATTAACATATTGATCTTTTTTCATAAATCATTCATGAACTGTTGCTCAATGTTCGAAGAGTAAAAATGTATATATGCTGATAGCTTATATGTGTTGTAATATATACATGTGGATAAGTAGTAATTAGCATTGAACTGAAATGATATATTTTTGCTAAACATAATGAAGTCTCTAACTAATATATATAAGATCAGTTCGTACAGATAATCGTACTAAGATCATTTCTCCACCAAGGTTTGCTTTACATTTTAGAATCTTAATTTCTGAGTTGGATTTCAAGAAAAGAACTTTATTCACATATAATATTGTATCAAAAATTTATTTCAAAGAAACAAATATATAATAAAGTTTACAGAAAAACATTATGGAATTATCCTTTCAAAATTTATTTTTATATCAGTGTTTCGAAACCAACATCATTATTACTAAATCTATACTAAAAACTGATACATTACTAAATAATATTCTGAATGCACATTCCGATTATCTTATGAGTGGTAGTAGATAGCTTTGTTTTTTTCACAGAAACAAATGTTACGTCTAAAACATATAGATGTATGCTGCTATCTTGTTTATTCGAAATGACAGCATACAATAAATTAGGAAACGTTAGTCGATACAAACTAATGTGATGATTTTTGAAAAAATGCTGATCAGAAAACTTTATATGCATTAAATTAGTGTATCTAATAGAACTTGCTAGCTTGTAAAAATACTCTTTTTGTGGAGATATGAATAGAGAAAAATTTTTAAGAATATTTTTATTCAGATATTGACATTAAAATGAAGGAATTTTTGTTCATGTTTACAGATCAGGTCTAGAAGCGAACCATGAAATATAAGTTAAGTCATTATTCACGTACAGTCCTTCAACTATGTCAAATAGTATGTCATGAAAAATCAGTTGGACAAATGTCGGCCCCTATTTATCTTCAATAGAAGAGTGCTAAAAGAAAACTTTTTAATTTTAAAACAGAGAAAATTTTTTCTTCTTTTGAATCGTATATAATAACTTACTCTTATTACATGTTCATAAATGTAATGACGCAAAAGAAGAGAAGCACTCTCAAAATGAGTCCACACTTTTCGTAGAGTGCAGAATGGCAATATAAAATACAAATGTCAATATCTCTTCGATAAGTACGTACAGAACCAAGATTTCTTTTTTACGAATTGAGGAAAAATCTTTTGCTATTTCAAACTGTATCTAATTTCTCTTCACCACACATATATAAGTCAAATAATATGAGAAAAACAAGAAAACTTTTGCATAAGAGTTTCATAATTATGATATGTAATCATCAAGCAAATTCTTAGGATGACACTCATTTATAATTACTGTTGTTTTACAAAATCGTTTCAACCAGTTTACAGGAGCGGAATCAACTACTATCTTACAAAACCTTTTCGATAAGTTCACAAGATTTTTTTACGAAATCATATAACATTTCATGTTGTTTCTATGAGTGTTTCTTTTTCTCTTTGTACCATTTTGTTTATAAATGTATAATAGAAGTAAACTCAATACGATTCAAGAGAGGAAAAATTTCTCATTCTGTTGATTAAAAAGATTTTTCTTTCAGTACTCTTCAATTGAAGAGAAACACGAGCCGACATGCGTCCAATTAGTTTCGCATCACATGTTATTTTTTATACGAAGTTCATTCATTTTCGAATTTTTCTGTTTGCAATCAGTAATGGCGATATAGAATAATCAATCTCAAACAGTGAACTTTCTTTTTTTGTTTTGTTGAAGAATATTAAAGAACTGAAGAGAGCATTATGATCATCTTGTTACGTCGTCATACATCAGCCAGACATATCATACTCCATCTATTCAGATTTCATTAGTTGAAAGATCTAATGTGATTAATGTCTTTGAAAGCAAGTGCTGATAAGTACCTTCCAAGGATGAAGTAAGCATGATGATCATTCTGTACTCAGTTAATACATTTATCAGATGTTAAAGTCCAGAAACTTTGATTTGATTGCCGCTAAGGTATAGTGTGATGAGTTTCTATATGAAAAATGTAAATGAGCACATAAGTAAAGAACAGCATCATGATCACTTTTTTTTGCTTCATAATGAAGCAGTTCAACATTCTTCTTCAAAAGCGCCGACTTTGTTTGTTAGACTGCGTGTGGTGAATGTCTAGGTGAAAGAATAAAGATGCGCACTGGAGAGAAATTAAGCGAATGATCTTAACATAGTATTTTTACGACAAACTTGAAACATTTCCACTCCAATAGACGATAACTCTAAAGATAGTATTCTAGAATGCACAAATATGGAAAGTTTCCGGTGTAATTATTCTTACGTT